ATATATTCTAGATATGAGCTGCTTTGGGCTACATGACTTACACATTTTTTTTTTCTCCTACCTTGCAGCTTGCCACAAAGCAAAACTCAAAGCATTTTCCACAGCCACTCTTCCATTTTAAATTCCTACCAGCAGTTTATGAGGGTCCTGATTTCTCCACATCCTTGCCAACATTTGTTATTGTTTGTTTTTTTGATTCTAGCCATCCTAGTGGGTGTAAGGTGGTATCTCATTGAGGTTTTGATTGAAATTTGTGGTTTGTCTTTTAATGGTGCTTTAATAAATACATGTTTTCAACTTTAATGCTCAATACAACAATCTTTTCTTTTATTGTTAGTATATTTAATGACTTAAGAACTCCTTCCTTACTCAAAGGTCATGAAGATAGTTTTCCGTACTATCTTTCAGAGGTTTTATTTATTTATTCTGTCATCCAGACTGGAGTGCAATGGCACAATCTTGGCTTACAGCAACCCCTGCCTCTGGAGTCCAAGCGATTCTTGTGCCTCAGCCTCCAAAGTAGCTGGGACTACAGGCGCAGGTCACCATAGCAGGCTAATTTTTTTTGAATTTTTAGTAGAGACAGGGTTTCATCATGTTGACCAGGCTGCTCTTGAACTCCTGACCTCAAGTGATCTGCCCACCTTGGTCTCCCAAAGTGTTGGGATCATAGGTGTGAGCCACTGCAGCTGGCCTGTTTAATCACTTTAACCAATCTGATAAATAGCTATCTAATACCTATTTTATCACTTTTATCTTTTTTTTTTTAAAAGACAGAGTTTCACTCTTGTCTCCTGGGCTGAAGTGCAATGTCGCGATCTTAGCTCACTGCAATCTTTGCCTCCTGGGTTCAAGTGATTCTCTTGCCCCAGCCTGTGGAGTAGCTGGGATTACAGGTGCATGCCACCACGCTCAGCTAGTTATTGTACTTTTAGTCGAGACGGGGGTTTCACCATGTTGGCCAGGATGGTCTTGAACTCCTGGACCTCAAATGATTCACCTGCCTCAGACTCTCAAAGTGCTGGGATTACAGGTGTGAGCCACTGCGCCCGGCCTGGAGTTTTATATATTATTCAAATCAGTCTTCCCCCAAAATGAAACTGGAGTTAATCAAGTTTAGCCTAAAGCTGCCTCCTTACATATTTAAGTTCAGCCTAAAGGTTTTTCTGTACATCGTGAACTGTAACAAATGTAAGTGTAAACCGACTGCAGCCCATACCTGTGCCAGTCACTGAGTTTTGGCCAATCAAATATAGTCAACTGTTTGAACCGTGTTCAAATAAGGCAAAAGCTGAGCTGTAACTGATCCAGCGTTTCTATGCCTCATTTCTGATTTCTGGACATCATTTCCTTTTTTTTTTGTCCGTAAATATTCTTTCACCACATGGTTGTACTGGAGTTTCTCTGAATCTCTTATGATTCTGGGGCTGCCCAATATGCGAATCGTTTAGTGCTCAATTAAACTCCTTTAACTTTAATTTGGCTGAAGTTTTTCTTTTAATAGGCCTATTCTTAACACAGCAGCCACAGTGATGATGTTAAAATGAGAGTTAAATTCCATTACTACTCTACTCAAATACTTCCAGCAGCTCCCAGTCACAGTAAAAGCTGTAAGGGTAAAAAGTGTGATAGCTTTCCTCACCCATCTTTTTTTTTTTTTTCTTTTCTTGAAATGGAGTTTCGCTTGTTACCCAGACTGGAGTGCAGTGGCGCGATCTCGGCTCACCACAACCTCCGCCTCCTGGGTTCAAGCAATTCTCCTGCCTTAGCCTCCCGAGTAGCTGGGACTACAGGTGTGCGCCACCATGCCCAGCTAATTTTTGTATTTTTAGTAGAGACGGGGTTTCACCATGTTGACCAGGCTGGTCTCGATCTCTTGACCTCATGATTCACCCACCTCGGCCTCCCAAAGTGCTGGGATTATAGGCGTGAGCCACCGCGCCCGGCCTTCCTCACCCATCTTAAGGGTCATGGCAGGCACTCCTATAATATAAGACAGGTTAATTAGAGAAAAGCCTAATAAATTTACTTCATCGAAGCTTTAGGTGACACCCGTGTCTTCAGAAATGAATACCAAAAGACCAGAGAAAACTGTGTTTCTGTGCTTAGGGCTGATGAAGAATGGGCAGCTGTGTAGGAAGGTGACTGGACAAAAGGTTATGATCTAATGGTAATGGACCACGTGGGGAAACGCAGCAAGGCCTGTCTGTTCAGAGCCTTCTTGACCACTCTGTGCAGCATTCCATCCTCCTCGGTTTGAGGCAGGACACTTCCGGAATGAGGGTCTTCAAGGGAGGACAGAGAGAGCGATCTTTCTAGGTTTTATGGCTTATTTGCAGGGAGGGAAGTTCTAGTTTCTCTGACCAATCGTGGGGAAGAGGAATTATGGTTTCTGTGACTCTTCAGGGGAGAAAGAGAGGCAAGAGACAGGAGGGCAGAAGAAGGTCAGAGAGACTTTGCTCCCGAGGCTTTTTAATCTCTAAAGCACTCAGCATGCCAAAGTGCCATACTTTGGGGTATCATTTTCTGAGCTCCTACAAAGCTGAAGTCAGTTTTTATAATTGTTATTTGCTGTCTTCCTCCCCATCTTCCTCTCCCTGGCCCTCCCACACTTTGTTACAACTCTGACCTTTCTTCCAACTCCTCTCTTCCTGGCTCACTCTATTCGTCTGTTTTCACGCTGTTGATAAAGACATACCCCAGACTGGGAAGAAAAAGAGTTTTAAATGGACTTGCAGTTGGGGAGGCCTCAGAATCATGGTGGGAGGCAAAACACACTTCTTACATGGCAGTGGAAGAGAAAATGAGGAAGAGGCAAGAGCAGAAACCTTTGATAAACTCATCAGATCTTGTCAGGCTTATTCAATGTCACGAGAATATCACAGGAGAGACTGGCCCCCATGGTTCGACTACCTCCCCCAGGGTCCCTCCCACAACACTTGAGAATTCTGTTTTGTGGGTTTTTTTTAATATGGAGTTTTGCTGTTGTTGCCCAGGCTAGAGTGCAATGGTACAATCTCAACTCACTACAATCTCCTCCTCCTGGGTTCAAGCAATTCCCCTGCCTCAGCCTCTAGAGTATCTGGGATTATAGGAACCTGCCACCCCACCTGGCTAATTTTTGTAGAGACAGAGTTTTACCATGCTGGCGAGGCTGGTCTTGAATTCTGACCTCAGGTGATCCACCCGCCTCAGCCTCCCAAAGTGCTGGGATTAGAGGTGTGAGCCCACGCCCAGCCTACACGTGGGAATTCTGGAAGATAAAATGCAAGTTGAGATTAGGGTGGGGACACATCTCACTCACTCTGGCCCAGGGTCACTCTGCTGGAAGTTCTAACACACTGGGCACATAATACCCTGCCTAGAGCAGGTATGCACATGACCCCCTCTCTTGTAATCTTCACATCTCCATAACTGCCACTTTCTCTGTGAAGTCTTCCCTGACCACTTTGTTAAAAAGAATTCTAAGTCCCGGCTGGGCGCGGTGGCTCAACTGTAATCCTGGCACTCTGGGAGACCAAGGTAGGTGAATCACCTGAGGTCAGGAGTTCAATACCAGTCTGGCCAACATGGCAAACCCCATCTCTACTAAAAATAAAAAAATTAGCTGGGCGTGGTGGCACACACCTGTAATCCCAGCTACTCTCGAGGCTGAGGCAGGAGAATTGCTCCAACCCAGAAGGCAGAGGTTGCAGTGAGCCGGGATTGTGCCACTGCACTTCAGCCTGGGTAAGAGAGTAAGACTCTGTCTCAGAAAAAAAAAAAAATTCTAAGCCCCATCTCCCAATTCTACTGATATTTTTCCATTTAAAAAATTTTTCCCGGGCTGGGCACAGTGGCTCAACGCCTATAATCCCAGCACTTTGGGAGGCTGAGGCGGGTGGATCACGAGGTCATGAGATCAAGACCATCCTGGTCAGCAAGGTGAAACCCCATCTCTTCTAAAAATACAAAAAATTAGCTGGGTATGGTGGTGCGTGCCTGTAGTCCCAGCCATTCAGGAGGCTGAGGCAGGAGAATTGCCTGAATCCAGGAGGCGGAGGTTGTGGTGAGCTGAGATCGCGCCATTGCACTCCAGCCTGGGTAACAAGAGCGAAACTCCGTCTCAAAAGAAAAAAAAAAATTTCCCATGGCAGTTGTCATCATCTGATTTCCTATGGATTTTAGATTTTACTGATTAAATGTTTTCTCCCCCACTACAATATGAACTCCACAAGGGTAAACATTTTGTCTGTTTTGTCTACTGACGGCCACTCATGACAGAAAGAAAAGTGACTGTCGGCCGGGCGCGGTGGCTCACGCCTGTAATCTCAGCACTTTGGGAGGCCGAGGCGGGTGGATCACGAGGTCGAGAGATCGAGACCATCCTGGTCAACATGGTGAAACCCCGTCTCTACTAAAAATACAAAAAATTAGCTGGGCATGGTGGCACGTGCCTGTAATCCCAGCTACTCGGGAGGCTGAGGCAGGAGAATTGCCTGAACCCAGGAGGCGGAGGTTGCGGTGAGCCGAGATCGCGCCATTGCACTCCAGCCTGGGTAACAAGAGCGAAACTCCATCTCAAAAAAAAAAAAAAAAAAGAAAAGTGACTGTCTTAGAGGAGGCCCTCAATGTGTTTTTGTTGAATATTGACTAAATGGACAAATCAGATGTAGGGGATGATCTAAAGAAAAGAGTCAGCTGGGTGCGACGGCTCACGCCTGTAATCCCAGCACTTTGGAAGGCCAAGGCGGGCAGATCACAAGGTCAGGAGTTAGAGGCCAGCCTGACCAACGTGGAGAAACCCTGTCTCTACCAAAAATACAAAATTAGACAGGCGTGGTGGTGCATGCCTGTAAAACCAGCTACTCGGGAGGCTGAGGCAGGAGAATTGCTTGAACTTGGTAAGTAGAGGTTGCAGTGAGCCGAGACTGCACAATTGCACTCCAGCCTGGGCAACAAGATCTAAATTCCATCTCAAAAAAAAAAAAAAAAAAGAGAAGCGTCAAGGATGACTTCAAAGTTTTTTTGTCTGGGTAATTGGGATTGGGACTGCCAGTTTCCAAGACAGGGAAGAGCAGGTGTGCGGAAGGTGTGATGACAGGTCGTCTCCAGTGTCATGAAGAGAAAGAACTGAGGCACAGTGCACTGATGGGTCAATCCATTCTCTCCAACTCTGGCAACTCTAACAGTTTCCTTAGTCAGATTTATAGTTGCCGCAAATATTCTCTGAAAGTTGGAAATAGAAAGAAGAGGTTAGTAGGTCTTCTCAGTTCAATACTGGGCTCGTGTCTTTGGTTCCCATCGATTCAGTTACTTCACAAGTCAGAAGAGGCAGAGATTAACTAATAGCTGCAACTGGCCGTTGTCTGGTGGTGGAAAGAATAATCCCGAAGGTTATGGTTCATGGTCCTATAGGACATTAACCATTTTTGTATCCAACCCAGCAATCTTACTAACATTCCTTTGTTAAATTGCCTAGAAACACCCACGCTTCTCAAATGCACTTTGAACTGATTTTGGTATCTTACAGATTCTTTCATTAATTAGCAAATTGTAGAAAACCTTTGACATGTATTCACTTTATATTTGCATGAGTAATGACTCTAGCGTTTTGAAAATTATGTTTTAATGACTTCTACAGAACTAAAATGCTGCCACTTAAAATGATACCTGAGCACTTACTCACTGATTAGTCCAGCCTTGTGATGACATGAATCTCCCTGCTGCCAGCACACTTATGCAGTTGGCAACTGGCTAAACTTCAGGCAGCAAAGAATGTTTAGCTGCTTGCTGCTTTTTGAAAAATAAATAAAGGGCTTCAGAATATGCCACCCCAAAATATGCTGTTTTGGCATAGTCATTTGAGCTGAAGGCACAGGAGAAACAGCTGATGCAGGAAAAGCTCTCTGATTCTTTCTACCTAAAACCAGGTACAATTTTCATTGAGAATCGTGCCTTCTGTGTATGAGGAAGACAACATTCTTATCACCGTAGAAAGGGAATTGACAACACTTTGGGAGGCCGACGCGGGTGGATCACGAGGTCAAGAGATCGAGACCATCCTGGTCAACATGGTGAAACCCCATCTCTACTAAAAATACAAAAAATTAGCTGGGCATGGTGGCGTGTGCTTATAATCCCAGCTACTCAAGAGGCTGAGGCAGGAGAATTGCCTGAACCCAGGAGGCGGAGGTTGCGGTGAGCTGATATTGCGCCATGCACTTTAGCTGGGGTAACAAGAGCAAAACTCCGTTTCAAAAAAAAAAAAAAAAAAAAAAGAAAGGGAATTGACACTGGAATAGATCTATGCCAAAAGTCTTACTAAAATAACCTTTAAATTCCACTAGTTTACCCCTCTATATTTCCTAGTCACTGTCCCACAATTTAGTGCCATTACACCAAGCCCCTTTGTCTTGCCTCATCTGCATAATTTATAATTCTTTGTGTAAAAAGGTACATCGTAGTTCCTTGGTATCTGCAGGGTATTGGTACTATTGCCACCCCTTATATATACAAAAATCTGAGGATGCTCAAGTCTCTTATATAAAATGGCATAGTGTTAGCATATAAGCTATGTACATCCTCCTGTATAGTTTATTTTTTTATTTTATTTCTTGAGAAAGATTTATTCTGTCACTCAAGCTGGAGTGCAGTGGTGTGATGATCTTGGCTCACTGCAACTTCTGCCTCCTGGGTCCAAGCGATTCTTGTGCCTCAGCCCGTAGCTAGGATTACAGGCATGCACCACCACACCTTGCTAATTTTTATATTTTTAGTATAGACATGGTTTTGCCAGTTGGCCAGGCTGGTCTTGAACTCCTGGCTCTAAGCAATCCACTTGCCTTGGCCTCCCAAAGTGCTGGGATTATAGGCATGAGTCACTGTACCTGGCCCTCCTGTATACTTCAAATCATCTCTAGATCACTTATACCTAATACAATGTAAACGTTGTGTAAGTTGCTGTTATACTAAAGTGGATTTTTATATATTTGTATTTTTTATTTATTTCTAAATATTTTTCATCTGAGGTTTGCTTAATCTATGGATGTGGAAGCTGCAGATATGGAGGCCCAACTGCCTCTTTGGGTCTTTTTTTTTTTTTTTTCTTGAGATAAGAGTCTCTCTCTGTCACCCAGGCTGGAATGCAGTGGATGGTATGCTGACAATTCTGAAGGCATTTCTATTTTTTTTTTTTTTTTTTTGAGTTGGAGTTTCGCTCTTGTTACCCAGGCTGGAGTGCAATGGCGCGATCTCGGCTCACCGCAACCTCCGCCTCCTGGGTTCAGGCAATTCTCCTGCCTCAGCCTCCTGAGTAGCTGGGACTACAGGCACACGCCACCATGCCCAGCTAACTTTTTTTTGTATTTTTTTTTTTTTTTTTTTTGAGACGGAGTTTCGCTCTGGTTACCCAGGCTGGAGTGCAATGGCGCCATCTCGGCTCACCGCAACCTCCGCCTCCTGGGTTCACGCAATTCTCCTGCCTCAGCCTCCTGAGTAGCTGGGATTACAGGCACGCGCCACCATGCCCAGCTAATTTTTTTTGTATTTTTAGTAGAGATGGGGTTTTACTATGTTGACCAGGATGGTCTCGATCTCTTGACCTCGTGATCCACCCGCCTCGGCCTCCCAAAGTGCTGGGATTACAGGCTTGATCCACCGCGCCCGATCACGGCATTTCTATTTTTATTCCACCAATAATTTTAAAGCTAGCCAGTTAAGTTATACTTTAAGTCACATGAACTTGAAAATTGCTTAGACTTATTTACTGAATTTATAAGCGCTCTTTTACTTTTAAGCCAATTTTGTAGACACAACATATAACAATAAGTGTACCTACAAACAAACACATCTACACATGTATATACACACTACACACATACATCAATGAAGATCCAATACCTTGTCACCTGAGCCATGAGATAGCAATACAAGCTTGTGGTTTCGCTTCAACCTAATAGATAATACAAGGAAGGCTGTGAACCAAAATTTCAGATAAAGCAGTCTCCACGGCAGTTTGATATTTAAAGGCTAGGCCTCCCAGCCTCCCCAGACTTCAAGAAGCAGTGGGCCAAACAGTACCAAAGGAGGGCATCACACGTTAAACCAGCCACTCCCCTGCCCTTAGAACAGCAGCACAGAAGCCTGGACAAATGCAATGCCACTCCACTTTCTGACTAGACAGTAAATTTCAAATTCTAAAAAATTTTGGGGCCAAGCAGCATTGCAACTGTGAGAGAAATTTTTTTTTTTTTTTTAAGACAGAGTTTGGCTCTGTCACCCAGGCTGGAGTGCAGTGGCACCTGATCTCAGCTCACTGCAACCTCCACCTCATGGGCTTGAACAATTATTTTGCCTCAGCCTCCTGAGTAGCTGGGACTACAGGCATGCACTGCCACGCCTAAGTAATTTTTTTGTATTTTTCGTAGAGACAGGATTTCACCATGTTGGTCAGGTTGGTCTCGAACTCCAGACCTCAAAGGATCCGCATGCCTTGGCCTCCCAAAGTGCTGGGATTACAGGTGTGAGCCACCGTGCCTGGTCTGCGAGAGAAAATTCTAAGGAGGGTTTAATACTAGACCTCAGAACCTCTGCCAAGAGCGTCCTGTTTGGAGAGTTTAAGTTTTGCAGAACCCAGGGAGCATTCTCCTGTGGGGTCCAATCTTAGAGTTCCAGATGTCTCTGGCCCAAGGTGGGTGCACCAAATGCAGGTTTCTCCTCCAAAACACACTATGAGATTTGTAAGAATAGCCACGGACTGTAATGAGAACTGGATGCCCAGTGAACCTTTTGTCTGTTAGCCAGTAGAGTATCACAAGGAATAATTTAGCATATGAAAAGAAAGTTTAAATTGCCTGAAACAAGTGCCAGTTTGCTCTGCGCTGCGCAGCACACAGGGATCAGGGACTATGCACTAAAAAAATTAAAAACAGCCGGGCGCGGTGGCTCAAGCCTGTAATCTCAGCACTTCGGGAGGCCGAGGCAGGCGGTTCATCTGAGGTGGGGAGTTCGAGGCCAGCCTGATCAACATGGAGAAACTCCATTTCTACTAAAAATACAAAATTAGCCAGGTGTGGTGGTGCATGCCTGTAATCCCAGCTACTCGAGAGGCTGAGGCAGAAGAATCTGGTAGGTGGACGTTTCGATGAGTCGAGATTGCCACTGCACTCCAGCCTGGGCCACAAGAGCAAAACTCCGTCTCAAGAAAAAAAAAAAAAAAAAAAAAAAAAAAGAGTAAGCTGGGCGCGGTGGCTCACGCCTATAATCCCAGCACTTTGGGAGGCCGAGGCGGGTGGATCACAAGGTCAAGAGATCGAGACCATCTGGTGAAACCCCGTCTCTACTAAAAATACAAAAATTAGCTGGGCGTGGTGGCGCACGCCTGCAGTCCCAGCTACTCACTCGGGAAGCTGAGGCAGGAGAATTGCTTGAACCCAGGAGGCAGAGGTTGCCGTGAGCCGAGATCACGCCACTGCATTTCAGCCTGGGTAATAAGAGTGAAACACTCTGTCTAAAACAAAACAAAACAAAACAAAACAAAAAAACAAAAAAGGAGGGCGGGTTGTTTGAGCTCAGGATTTTTAGACCAGTCTGGGCAACATGGTGAAACCCTATCTCTTCTAAATTAGCTGGGTATGGCAACGTGTACCTGTAGTCCCAGCTACATGGGAGGCAGCAGGCTGAGGCAGAAGAATCACTTGGGAGGTGGAGGTTGCAATGAGCCAAGAATGTGCCACTGCACCCCAGCCTGGGTGACACTGAGAGACTCGGTCTCCAAAAAAACCCCAAAAACCAAAAAACCAAAAAAAATTGACTGGGCAGGGTGTGGTGGCAGGTGCCTATAATCCCAGCTACTTGGGAAACTGAGGCATGAGAATTGCTTGAACCTGAGAAGTTTAGGCTTCAGTGAGCTGACATCATTCTACTGCACTCCAGCCTGGGTGACAGAGTAGACTGTCTCAAAAAGAATATAATAAAAATTAAAATAAATCAATAAAACAAGAAAGAAAAGAAAGAAGTCTGACACGCCTCTGTAGCAGGGCGGTGTTCTTTTCTGGAAGCTCTGGGGAGGATCCATTTCCTTGCTTTTTCTGGCTTCTGAAGGCTTCCCACATTACATGGCGTGCGGCTCCCTTCCAGTATCAAAGACAGCAATGACAGGTTAAATACTTCTCACATCATTCAACCTGTCTTTCCTGCCTCCTTCGACGCTTCTGATTCCACTGGGTTTGCCCAGGTAATCCATGATAATCTCCCTATTTTATAAGGTCAACTGATTAACAACCTTAATTCCAAATGCAACTTTAATTTCTCTTTGCCATGGAACATAACATATTCACAAGTTTCACAGATGGGGGACATCCTTGGTGTGGGGCATTATTCTGCTTACTACAGTTCATCAGAAGACAAGAGAGAAAACAGCGAATTTAGGGAGATAATATATTCATCTCTGTTTTCTGCGAGACATCGACACAGTGTCTTTACAGACTGGTAACTAGAGCTACTTCTCTAGTTAACAAAGGCAGAGTGGGCCTTCCATTGCAGGTATTTACCATGGCAAATGCCAAGCTTCTTGGTGCCAACATTTATGTATGTGCTAAGCATTTTAAACAGATCTTTTGCAACACTCTACTTTCACACTGTGAAGGATGTAATGTAGTTATGAGCTTTGAAGTTGGACAGAACTGAATTTAAATTCTGACTCCGTTACTTATTACCCCATGAACCTTAAGCAACTTAGCCAATCTTCTAGAGCTTTCATTTCCTCATCTGTAAATTAAGGATTAAAAACAGCTAGCAGAAAAGGTTATTGAGTGAGTTGAATGCAATAATGTATGTGAAGCCATGAGTAGAGGCTCTAAGTATATTTTGAATTGTTTTTCCTGTACACTTTTTCCCAGGTACCTGGCTCTCTTGGCCTAGGACACACAACTCCATAGGGTATAAATCTAGAGCTCGGTCCCCCATGGTTTTGCTCCCTAAATCCTGAAATAGGAGACTAGAAGGCACATTTTAAGCCTGAAAGAGGTAAATTTACTATACAAGGAAGGGAATATTCTTTTTCTTTCTTTTTTTTTTTTTTTTGAGATGAAGTCTCACTCTGTCACCCAGGCTGGAGTGCAATGGCACGATCTCAGCTCATTGCAACCTCTGCTTCCTGGGTTCAAGAGATTTTCCTGTCTCAGCCTCCCAGGTAGCTGGGATTACAGGCATGTGCCACCACACCTGGCTAATTTTTTTTTTGTATTTTTGTAGAGACGGGGTTTCACCATGTTAGCCATGCTGCTCTCGAACTCTTTACCTCAAGTGATCCACCTGCCTTGACCTCCCAAAATGCTTGGATCACAGGCATGAGCCACCCTGCCCAGCCGGGAATACTCTTTTTCATATAAAATAATAGTAAGTTCATGAACAAAACTAATTAATGCATAACTCAACTAAATTGTGAGTTAAGAGGCCGGGCGCAGTGGCTCACGCCCGTAATCCAAGCACTTTGGAGGTCAAGGTGGGCGGATCACCTGAGGTCAGGAGTTCAAGAGTTAATAAGGTTGTGATGTAAGCTGAATGAAACATACAGGGTAGTTTAGTCATATTTGGTGATGACAAAAATATATTAGTTACTAAGGAAAATTAATAATAGCTTGCGCTATGCATCAGGTCCCACGTGAAGGGCTTTATAAACATCTCACTTATTTACACCAACTACCAACTGTTAGCCCTGTTTTACTGAAAGCAAACCAAAGTTAAGGGAAAGTGCATAATTTGCCATCACTGTAAGTGTCTAAACTGACGAAGCATATGTTATTGTTAGTCTTCTGCTCCTTAAGGATGTGGCGGTACAATCCTATCTTTTGCGGGCAATGATGGTTGGAGTCTTCGGCTTACCAATTAGTAAGTTAATTTTAAACTTCTGCTTGAAGAAAGGAACTGTGGAAGGTATTAGTAGCAAGGGATGAGAAGTATCTTTATATCTTTTAATTTCATATTCTTTTCTATGAGAGAAGGGCAAGAATCTAGGAAATTAATTCAGTTAACTAATACTTATTGGACATCTGCTGTTTGCCAGGGATTATGAAATATCCCTCTTCTACATTTATCATTTAGACTTCATAGACTTCAATTTTCTTTGCTGAAAATTGAGGGGCTTAGGTTTTTTTTTTTCTTTTCCAGATGAAGTTTTGCTCTTGTTGCCCAGGCTGGAGTACAATGGCGCGATCTCGGCTCCCCGCAACCTCCACCTCCCGGGTTCAAGCGATTCTCCTGCCTCAGCCTCCCGAGTAGCTGGGATTACAGAAATGCGCCACCACGTCCGGCTAATTTTGTATTTTTAGTAGAGACAGGGTTTCTCTATGTTGGTCAGGTTGGTCTCGAACTCCTGACTTCAGGTGATCCACCTGCCTCAGGCTCCCAAAGTGTTGGGATTATAGGTGTGAGCCACCGTGCCCCGCCTGAGGGGCTTAGTTTGAAAGTTTTTTTTTTTTTGGTTTTTTTTTTTTTTTTTTTTTTTTTTTTGCCTTTTTGCTTTAAATATCTAAGAGCCCATACATCCACTCAATCTTCATTTTCTCCCAACTAGACCTTAAAGTGGCATGCAGAATTATAGCGAGATACATGTGGGATGTATGTGGTGGTTCACAGCCACAGCTGATGGTGGGCAGAGTAAGGTAATGGTTTCTTTTTTTTCTACGTCTTCCTATTCATATTTGCACAAAAACATGGTCACACATTCTTACTTGATGATTTGTAGTTAGACACATGCCAATGATGCTAACACCTTTGGGTGAAGGACATCTCTTCCTTCACAATTTATTGCAGAATGCTGGGTTTACAAAAGCCTGAGGAATACTTAAGCAATGTTCAGTTGATAGGAGAAGTTTTATTAGCTTACCTTCTAGTCTGTTTGCTTTAGTTGCTGCCAAACATCCTTTAAAATCAGGATCCTTCCTTATTTAGAGAAGTTTGCAGGAGGGCTTCAATTTCTATACACCAGATTAAATGCTTTTCCTTCTCACCTGTTTAGGTTAATGACCCTCAGTGTTATGCAGAGTAAAGAAATCATGTAGCCTCCATTCAGAAGAACCATTCTGTTTGAAAAAGAAAAGACTAATTCCAGCAGAGTCATTAAATGAAAATGAGAAAGTTTAGAAAAATTCAAAAAAGAAAAAAAGTCAGTTGAGTATTCTCTAGGAACACAAATTGTTTTGCTGTTTAGACCAAGATAAGCTCTTCAATGCCTGTTCTCAAGCTGATTTAGTCTATGAAAGTGATTTTCTTATGAACGTTTTCCTATATCTTTATTTTGCTGTTGATAAATTTCTTTTATACACTACATCTTTTTTGGTGGGAACTGTTTAGACCTATGACCTTAGAATACTGGCCTGACTTGGAGAAAAATGAACTTGAAAAGAATACTGTGGCATATGGAACACACACCTTTTCATATAAAAGTTAAACTACCGGCCTATAGTCAATATAGCATGCCCCATGACAGATTCTTCTTAGGATAAATTTACAACAGGCACGCAACAAAATATTCATCGGTTATCCCCTAATATTATCGAGTAGTTGTAGGAGCCGGTGACGCAGTAAGCACACAGAAAAATCTTCAGCGGTAGAATGTTAACTATATGCAGTAGTAGTAATTTTAAGGAGGCTGAAATGCAATATGGTCACGTACCTACCCTCCTGGTATGCAAGTTTCATAGGCTATTGAAAAACAAGTGTATACCTTCCGGTATCTGCATTCCTTATTCTTGGGATAGCTTATAGACCTTCTTTAGACACCTAACAGTAATCTTTCTCCCAGGGAAACCAAGGAAGCACGAGTCATGTTTCTTGACATTAATGTTGTATAATCTGAAAAATATAAGACGCTTTTTTTTAATTGGCGCTAGAAAATTCCGCTTAGGCTCAACATCCATTTCTAAACTTCTGCAAGAAAGCTTTAACTCCTTTGACATGCCAAAAATCCAGGTGTGAATTAAACAACAAATGCTTTATTTACCTCGTTTTCACCACTAGTTGTCCCAGTCGGAACGTTTTCAATTCATCCCCAGCCAATGCCTGTCATTACGCGGCCTGGCAACACACCCTTTCACCTCCTCAAACCCCGTGTCTTCGCTTTTCCAGTCCTTTGGCTGCCCTCCGGTTTCTTCCCGCCCGTACTTGTCTGACTAGTTCCTAGAAGCCTGGCAGAGATCGTTCTCCGATTTAAATCCGGCTGCCACAAATTAAGAGCTTGGAGTCCAAGTACTCCTCTCTCAAAGCAAAATCTAAATGGATAGAATTTATTTATTTATTTTTGAGACGGAGTTTCGCTCTTGTTACCCAGGCTGGAGTGCACTGGCGCGATCTCGGCTCACCACAACCTCCGCCTCCTGGGTTCAGGCAATTCTCCTGCCTCAGCCTCCTGAGTAGCTGGGATTACAGGCACGCGCCACCATGCCCAGCTAATATTTTGTATTTTTAGTAGAGACGGGGTTTCACCATGTTGACCAGGATGGTCTCGATCTCTTGACCTCGTGATCCACCCGCCTCAGCCTCCCAAAGTGCTGGGATTACAGGCGTGAGCCACCGCGCCCGGCCAATGGATAGAATTTATAAGCAAAGATAATACTTTTATTTTTCCCTCTAAAAACAACCATGCATGGGCTTTTAAAGGAGAGAAAAAGAGTGGATGGATTGACAAGAGAAAATAAAGGTTCGGACAGAGGTTAGGAAAAGACTGAGAGCCAGAGAAGAAGCATCAGTCCCAGTTGTTAATCCACGAGGCGTCCTCCAGCCCCTCCGTAAAGGTTAATGAAGGCAGTAAGGCAGTTTTGCTTTGTGCACGGATGCAATCCGAGCTTCCATGGTTTAGCACACAGTAGGCACTCTATAAATACTTATTGAATGTTGAAGGACTGAGAGAATAATTAAAAACCGGTAAATGGATATCACAAATACAATGACAAAGGCTCCCCCATCCAATGTTTAGTGTTCCCAGAAACAGCCCCATTGTTCTCTCTGTCTCCATACTCCGGGCTTTTCCCGTTTTTGTCATTCGAACTCTTGCGTGTGTATTTAAATCGAAGCACACACAAATCCCTGAAATGACAAACTGAAATGCTATCCAGAGGAAGCGATACTAGGCGGCTGCTCGGAAAATGAAGTCCCCTGCTAACGGGCTCGCTGTTTCCGCAGCGCTCTTTCCCGCCTTCTCGGAGCTGGGGTGAGGGATGAAAGCACCAGGCTTCCCCCTCCTCTCTGGTCCTCCGAGTTCTCCTCGCCTTCGCTCCGCTCCCTCGCCCCGTCTATCCTCCCCAGGGCTGCGGCTCCGCTCTGCCTCCCTGGCTGCCGCGGGTGCCTTTGATCCTTTCTTTCCAGCCCTTGCTCGCGGCGGCTCCAGAAAACCCCTTCTTTCTCCCCTCCCCACGTCACTTCCCTCCCCGCTCCCACCTCCCTCTCCTCCCCGCGAGAGGCCGGCCGTGTCTTAGCTTCGTCCCTCCAACCGGCGAGCGGGACTCGGAGAGAAAGAAGGGGGGAAGAAAGCGCAGAAACAGAGCGAGAGAGGAAAGAGCCCCGCGGCCCGAGCGCAGGGGCCCGGGAGCAGCGTCACCATGGCAACGGGCGCCGGCAGGAAGCGAGGGAGGCGCGGGCGGGGGGGGCGGGGGCGCCGGCGGGGGCGGGGCGCGGAGGGGGCCGGCTGCCCCGGAAGCACCTCCCCGCAGCCCCCTCCCCTCGCCCGGCCCGCAGCCCCCGGCCGGCGGCCCCCACCTCCTCGGCCGGGCAGGCGGTGACAGGCCCGCAGCGGACCCCGGAGGCCTGGCGGAGCCGCGGCCGGGCCCGCACCCGGAGCGGCGGGAGGGGCGGGGAGCGGCGGCCGCGCCGGGCACCTCCCGCCCCGCCCTCGGCGCCCCCGCCCCTCCAGGAAGGGGAGGAGGCGAGGGGAGCCCGCCGCGGAGGCCCAGCGAGCCCCCGGCCCGGCCCGGCGACCGGGGACCCCGGCACCTGAGGTGGACGCCCCCGGGACGGACCTGCGTGCGGAGCCGGGCGAGAAGGTAAGCGGGCGGCCGGGGGCCGGGGAGGGGCAGGACCGCTGGGGGCTTGGCCGCGCGGGGCCGGCTCCCCGCCGCCTCCGAGTGCGTGACGCCCCGGGGACCTCCCCCGGCCGCTCGCCCTGCCTGCCTCCGGCGCGGCGCCGCGGTCCCGGGCTCTGCCTGTCCGGCGCTCCCGGCTATTCATTGCGCGGCGCTCCGCGCTGTCCGCCCGTCACCCTCGCTGTCTCTGACTGCTCGCTTTCTGCTTCCTTCTCCTTCTCTGACTCGGGTCCTTGCAGCCGAGCATGCTGTCCGGTGAGCCCCCTGCTCTCGTGCTCCGCTGGGGCCCGCAGCCCCCGGCTCCTTGGCTTGTGCCCGTCTCCCTGCTGTCTGTGTGCACGGGTCCCTGCTCACTCGGGTCCGCTCGCTCCGGGCGCACCGCTGGACCCACCCCCTTTCCGCGGTGTACTTGGTTTCTCTTGGAAGCATCGTTTTCATCAAGGTTCTGGATAGAACGAGGACCCCTGGGCGTCTGCTCTCCCTGTCCTGATGACTACCGCGTCTTTGGCACGGTCTTCCCTGAACCATCCCCGTCTCCCGTCCCCCTGCCTATGTCCCATCCGTTCTTCGTGAGAAGAGTTTCGTGCTTAGGGATACTTCCACCAACTCTCGACCCAATACCAAGTCCACCTCAATGCCCCTTTCTAGCTCCCTTCGTTAGGTCTGTGCGCCTATCCAACCCAGGTACACCTACAGGCTACCTTTTAACGATGACTGTGGCTTAGCTACTCTGGGGACATCTGTGGATCAGCTGCTCACTCTCTTCCAGTTTAATTTTGAAAATTTTAATTCCTGGTGCTGCCCAAACTGTTTGTTGTCTTCATTTTTTTTTTTTTTTTGTATTTAATCTTGTAATCATACTATTGATCACAAATGAATACATTTATGTGCCCGGGATCCAGGAATCCTGGTTCTGATGGCAGTTTTCTTTGATTTTATTGAGACTTTTAAGCTGGTCCCTTTACAGCTCTATTTCTGTTTCACAATCCAAAAACAAAACAAAAATTATTCATAAGAATTCAGTTTTGGGGGAGACAAGGGGGTCATACAGTTTGTAAGTATTTTCACATGTGAATGTGGACATTATGGTCTCTATACCTAGTAAAGGGGTCTCGTGTCTCTGAGTCCAGTGAACTAAATCCAGTAATCTATAAAACTATGCCGTGCTGCCTCTAATCCTTACCCACTTTTTTTCTTCACATGCTGATAATGAGGATTCATGGGTCTGTATCTGTTTAGTGCTTTGATATTTTGGCAAAAGATGTGGGGAGAAGGTAGACTAGTTGAAGCTGATGTGATTTTTCCTGTGTACTTTTCGGGTTATACACGTTTGCAGTGACATTTTCTAGTCCTAAATGAAACTTAAGATTTGGGGGGATAATGGTGTGATCGGATGATACTGGGAATGATGATAAGAAATATCCTCAGCTTTATTGCCAAGGCCAGTTTGATTTTCTTTACTTTGCTTGTTTGTTTGTTTTGGATGCAATCTTAAGACCAATGCGTTCACCCTAATAAAACTGTTGACAACCCTTAGCAGAAATTCTGGTTTGATGTTTATATTCTTAAGCCAAATAGTATTTTGGTGACCTGATATTTCTAGTGGCCCAGTGCCTCAAAAGTAGAGAAAATAGTGGGTAGCATAACAAAAGAGAAAAACAAAAGAATGAGTAAAAAACCTTACTGTCATTTAGTGCTGCTTTGGAAGAATATTTCTTCTCATCTCTTGTTTCTTTGCTTGGTTCTTGGCAATGTTTTCATATGTGTCTTTTTGCAAATTTAAGTATAGTCCCCAGTGGGTAAATTCTGACACGTTAGTAGACGAAAAAGTTGCATCTTACTTTCTTGAGGATTTTCATTGTGTATATTTCTATGTTTCATACTCTGGAGTCATTTCTTAAAATGGTATATTACGATCAGTATGAAGCCTTCTTTGCAGTGAGGCAACAGGTATAAGGAGGGAAAGCAACATGCCCGAGGTGTTATTAGTAGCCTGAGCTGGAACCAGGCAGCTATTTGGGCTATGTGGGCTGCAGGTGAGCTCTTCTGCCTCCTAGTTTTATGACCTTCCATGACCCAGTGAATGTGTTTGTATCTTAAGGTCCTCCTCCATAAAATGAGGATAATGAGTACTCACTATCATAGTGAGAGACACTGCCTTAATCACAGCTTGGTTTGAAGAAGCATGTATTAGTGTAAAGACTTGATACTTACTAGGACAATTTCTTTAACCTCAGAAAACCTCATTTTCAAAATTGTAAAATCAGGATAATAGTGTTTACCTTACAGCACTGCTATGAGAGATAAAATATAGGTGAAGTGCCTAGCTCAGTGAAAGGAGGCAACTAGTGGCTCACCAGTAAATGGTGACTCATTCGGATGATAAGAATGCAGATGGAGACAAAAATAAAATAACCAAAAATTTTAAGTGGGAAGATTTTAAACTGTTAGAACGTGCTGTGGGAATATAAGGTGGCTTTGGTATTGTAAGGTGCCATCTCACATTCTGGCCATTTTATTTAATGACACCCATGAGGGAATATGTAAAGGTTGTTTCTTCTGAAACTGCATAGCTTCAAAAGATGGCAGCATGGGGAAGACACGGTTGCAAGAGTGTATTGAAGATTTGGGAGTTCGAAGATGAGAAATCATGGCTTATGGAAGAGGAGGAAGATTTGTAGATAACTTACGGATTTTCCTATGTTCTTGAATAATAACATGAAATAACAGCTTGGGATCAAGGTATAAATTTTAACCTTTTGCTGC